TTTTAATTTATTTTATTGATAAACTCAGAAAAAATTAATTAATGATCCAGTTTTTACAGATACATACCGTTTTTACACTTAATGGTAAAAAATTACACGTAATAACGAAATTGGGACAATAATTGGGACCGCGTAAACAAAACGAGTTAGGGAGCGTGGGAACGTTCAGAGAAGACAAAGTGAAGAGTCCTTTAGTTGATTCATGTATATGTTTATGATGAAGAGTTAATGGTTAGGAGTTAAACCACAAATTAATAACATTAAGTTAACCTTTCATCTTCCATACAAACCCCTATATAAACTGCACTTCTCTTCACAAACAACACACCTTCAAACCCCAAATCTCTTTTTCTCTCTCCTAGGTTTCCATCTCTGTCTCATTTCAAGAAATTTTTTCAACAAAATCTTCGAAATCCACTCTATTTAGATCGCCCCACGCGAGTTCATTGACCTCTACAAAAAATCGTTTTTTTTTCTCTCTTTTCCAATTTCTCAGACACGCTCGCCCCACGCGAGCTCCCTTCCTCTTTGAACTCGCCCGATGCAAGTAGAGCAGAACTTGCACTTCTTCTTCTAGTTTTCACTATTTCGTCAAATTTCATAGTAAGGTCATGAAGGACCCTATGGCGAAGCAATTCTTTCGCAAGAACAAGGGTGGAAGAATAGGTTGTCCCGGAAATTTTTTTTTCTCTTGTTCGACATCTATTTTAGCAACTTTATTTTCAAGTATTTCAATGATTTAATTTCGATTTGTTTGCTGTTCAAGTATATTTTATTAAAAGTGCTTTATAATTGGTTTTAGGTTGCTCGGCTTTTTCTAGATTTTGAACCGGAGATTGATTAGTTTGATTGTTATTTCCATAACTTTGGAAGTTATTGTTTTGCCTCGTATATCCATTAGGGTTTCTATTCAAGTTATTTCCTTGAAAGTTTCATGGGTTTTGATTAACAGGTCTAGTGTTATTTTGATTTCCCCATCGAAAGTTCGGATAATTAGCCCATGTTGGATTGTATGAGTTACCTTGAGGTGGAGCATTTTTTCTATTATCCCAAACACCGTTACCTTGTTCTTGTTCGTATGGAATGTGTGGGCAATTATCTTCATTATGATCGTTTCCATTACAAACTTGACATATTTCATTAACGTTCATGACGGAGTTGGGTTGGTTACTTTGTAAGGAGAGAGCTTCGACTTTCTTAGCTAGATTTTGAATTAAAGTTTTTACTTCTCACCTTGTTCTATCTTTGCCGTAGGTTTAACTTCATAGACTCCAGGGATAGGGTTAGGTGAGTTTCCCTAATGTTGAGGATTTTCCGCAAGTTTTATAAAGAAATCGTTAGCTTGTGTTGCGGTTTTACTAAGTATTTGACCCTCATTCATAGATTCTACTAAAGCACGTGTCGTAGGGTTTTGACAATTGTAAAAGCATTGAACTAACGTTTCCATAGGAATTTGATGATGTGGACATTGTATTTGTAACTCCCCAAATCTTTCCCAAGCTTCAAAAATTTTTCGTATGTTTTTGTCTAAAAGTTTGAATTTTGTTTTTTAACTCTATTGCATGTTCGGGTAATGGGATTGAATTTAGTAAGGAATTTTTTGTTCAATTGATCCCAAGTGCGGATAAAGTTTCCGGCTAAAGAATGTAACCATTAAGATGCTTTGTCGTTTAGAGAGAACGAGAATAACCTTAAACGAATACAATCAATACCTAGTCTAGTTTCGTTAAGAGTTGAGCATACTATGACGAATTGATGTAAATGAGTATAAGGGTTTTCTCGCTCATGACCAGAGAACTTAGGTAATATGTTAATGATGCCATAGTGAAGTTTGAAATCAGCTCCATCTTCGATTGTGGGCAAAACGATGCAATTAAGATGTCCGGTAGATAAGGGAACAAAAAGATCACGAAGTGGCCTTTCAGGATTGGCCATTTCAATAGAAGGGATCAAGTTGCTACTATCAGAATCCAATTGAAAAGCACTATTTGCTAATTCTAGAGGACTATTATCAAGATTAAAATCTATCGGACTAATTTCTAACTTATTAATAACGAAAGGGTTATACCTAATACCATAACGTAAAAGCATAAACTAAACTTTTGGTGCGTACCCTTTATCAACTTATTATAAAAACTTAACCAAGGACACAAAGCAAACAATTCACACTTCCAATATTGAAAATTAAACCTCTTACGTGGGATTCGAGGTGTTGAGAATACACGTAACTTTTTCCCTCTAACGCGCACAACGAGCAAATAATATTCAAAATGGCAAAATATGGAATGTAAATACCTTAAAAGTGATTAATATACATACCTTGGCCCAAAAAACTAAAATTCTGAAATTTTGAAATTTTTTGGAAATCTGAAAAAAATTTGACGTTTCTGTCAAGATCGCCTCATGCGAGTTGACTATAGAAGGCAGGTCGCGCAGGGCGAGTTGACCAGAAACAACTTGTCAGACTTCGGTTTTTGCAAATTTTTGTTTTTTTT